TGGGTTCCTGCCAGAACTCAAAAGTCAATAAAAGACAGATCATTGTCACCTGCCGACGTCATCAGCCTCGTACATCTTAAACAATGTATATAAGTTTAAAAACAGGGGGGTCCAAACTTTTTTCACCGAGGGCCACATACAGAAAATATATACGAAGGGCTGGGCCGCTCACGAGAGGTATACTGCCTCATACGTTCAGTTATAAGTTAGAAAACTCAAATGTAGGTAAAGTATGTGAGTGTTGGCAGCTCATCCCTTAAAGCAGAAGCCTCACATTGATTATAATAAGGAGAAATAGGAAGGGTCTATTTCAAGCTTGTAAATAAGTCATTGAGCTTTTTTCTTATCAACTAAGATATGTTAGAAAATGTTTCCAACTTGAATCGACTGAATTAATTCGAAAAGTGGTTTAATTAACACATGAATACTACTGTGTAATATATGTGTACAGATATATTTAAGAAGTACAAGACAAGCACAAGTTTCATTTGTAGGACGTATTTCATTATACTTTTTGAATTTGCTGAGGACCGATTCAAAATGGTCCGCAGGCCGCATTTGGCCCCCGGGCCGTGGTTTGGACACCCCTGATCCAAACAGCTCTTCAGTAAACTTAATGGGTCCTGCAGTATAATAACACCCTCTCTTTTACAGTAACTTCATGCGTCAGGAGTGCTTGGACTCAAGATTTGTCTTCGACAGACCCCTCCCCGCATCACGCCTCGTCTCTCTTATTGGCAGCAGTATCCTTACTAGTGTGAATCTCTGTAGTGAAATATACTCATTTTCTCTATATCTTAATATCAGTGCTTACACACAGTTTTCCTTGTGATGTTAAATAATTGTGAATGTCAACAATGATCCTTAACTGGACCTTCAGAAACTCAAATCCCAACACAGAGATATGGAAGGAGGCCCTATGGTGTCGGACTCCTCGTTGCTGGCTATGATGTAAGTTTGCTCAGTCTAATATCCCACTTCTCTTCCTGCTTTTTTCTTACATTTGAAATCTGACCTTAGCTCCTCCTCTTGTTTTTTCTTCTCCCAGGACATGGGCCCTCACATCTTCCAGACCTGCCCGTCAGCAAACTACTTCGACTGCAAAGCGATGTCCATCGGAGCTCGCTCTCAGTCTGCCCGCACCTACCTGGAGAGATGCATGGAGAAGTTCTCTGACTGTAAGACAACATTTATTTCACTGACATTGTTACTTAGTTAGTTAGGTAGGTAGGTAGGTAGGTAGGTAGGTAGGTAGGTAGGTAGGTAGGTAGGTAGGTAGGGCGGGCCTTTATTGATCCCAATTTGGGACATTTTTGAAATATTATATTTATATAATTTGTTTGCATCCAACAAGCTACTAGTTGCTAGTTCTGTAAATCTAATGACTCATTGTGTGCCAAATGAGCCTTCCTACTGCTGTGACAAAATGTATATCCTCAGGGAATAAAGAATATGAGATAACATTTTTAATTTAATGTCTGTCAACAGAACTAGCCAACAATATACGTAGTAGGAGAGTACATTTTTTAATAATTAGCTCCCAAAAAGAGTTGACATTTTTTTTAACTTATTAAACCAGTTCATTCACAGAAAAGTATTAACAACCAAGTTGAGTAAAATACATTTTGAAAGTAATTTCCTTATTTTAAGTACCAACTATTACCTTCTCAAATGTGAGGATTTGCTGTTCCTGTTTGTCTTATTCGATAGTAAACTGAATATTTGAAACGTGTTTGATTGAATAGGACATTGCAGCCTTCTGTGGCCTTGTACTCTGCGATATTTCAATACATTGTTAATGTTCTATTACTTTAAGGGAATCTAACAATAGGAACATTTCTGCCGTGTTTTTGCGGATGAACCGGCGGGTAAATATCTCAGGTGTTGAAAGAAAGAGTAAAACATTTCATTCACTTCCTCGTCTCTTCCTGTTCTCGTAGGTGGATCAAAGTCGCTATGGAGACCCCTTTATTTTCGCTACATACCGCTCTCTGTGCTCGTGGCTGGCTGAGGAGACTTCCTGTCTGAAGGAGGAAGTGACCGGACTGCTACCGTTCCTTATCGCCTACTCCCGGAGCCACCTGCAGGGTGAGAGCCCGGAGCACGGCCTCTCTGATTGGATGTCCGAAATGTCCGTCAGAGAGGAGACAGGGGCGTGGACGGGCAAAGAAGCTCTGAGGTAAAGATAATTATCAGAGGGAACCAGTCAGAAAGTGTTAACTTTATTCCATAGAATCTGCAGTTTTCTAACAGTACATTCTCTTAAATCCTCACACCCTCCATGCTCTTTTCAGGTATCTCCTTCCAGCTCTGTGCCACCTGTCGGCAGAGGAAGAGCCCAGGAAGGTGCTGCTCACCCTCGACACCCCTGCATTGCTGGTGGACTTCCTGTCTCAGTGCTGGACCTCCCTCAAGGGGAAAGGTGGGGTGTCCTCGGCCAGGGATCCCAGCATGGAGACAGCCTGCTCAGCCCTCCTCAACTTCACCGTCACAGAGCCGGAGAGAGTCAGGTAGCTGGTTAACAAGTGAAATACTCATCTAAAGCTGAAAATGATCCTTTGTTTACTAACAGATATTGAAGGTGTTCATTTAAATGTTTTCTGTTTGGTCGTCCAGGAAGGACCCATGTTTCAGAACGCTGGAGGCCCTTCTGAGTGAAGCACTTCCTGTTTTGGTTCACAAACCCCGCCTCCTGGTCCTGGCAGCAAATTACTGCACGCTGGGACTGATGATTGGCAGACTCAAATCAGCTCCTACAGGTAAACTTTTTTCCTTTGTTTAGATTAATCACTTGGTTCTTTTCTTTTTTTCAGCTGTTTATGGCAAATTCACTGCACCATTTGTATCATGTTCCTTTTTTAAATAAAAATTCCAGAGTATTTTCTATTGCATTACAGCCAACATTTGACACGCCATAGAACTTGAAATGACAACATTACCACTAACCATCAATCTATTCAAACTTCACAGTGACAATTATCCAACATTAGATAAATGCAATTCAAATCAATTATTTATTTCTGTGTTTCCTCTCTTGCGACATATCAAGTGTCTTCTGGGTAAAAGGTCTATACCACAGCTGATAAACTGGCAAACCTGAGCAGAATGAAGCCATTACTGATGTTGTTAGTTACCCTTATGCATTGCCTTCTATAAAAGCTTTGAAAAACGCCTGAGGGAATTCAGATCATGTGGTCTGTAGGTTGGACGGAAGTGTTTAATGTTATACTCTTTAAACCTCAGCTAGCAGTCTTAGTCTAGTATTGTGTTCTTTATTGTTCTTTCCTTTTTAAATGTCCTGTTTTGAGAGCTGTCAATAAACACCATAAGACTTTGCTAACACACATGCTTTTTGTTTTTCCAGGCTCAGTGGAAGCCGGACAGAGGCGGTTCTTCTCCTCCGCCCTCCGGTTCCTCCGCGGCGCCCTAGACTCCGGCTCCAGCCCCGGCCCGGTCAGGGTGAGCCTCGGCTGGGCGGAGAGCTGGGAGGAGGCGGCGGAGCTGTGGAGGCTGAGTCTGCAGGCTCTGGGGGGCTGCGTGCGCGCTCAGCCTTGGATCGGCAGCCTGGTCCGAGAGGAAGGCTGGCTCAAACACACACTGGCCATGCTGAGTCAGTGTAGTGCACTGCCTGAGCAGCACACACAGGGGGCGCTGGAGGAGGCTCTGTGCGCCATGGCAGACCAGTGCCCTGTGTGTAAGGTGGAGATTGGAGACGCCATGAGAAATGATAAAGGAGCTTTGATCTCTCTGAGGAAACTGAAAAAGTCAGTGGGAGTAAAGTAAAACCAATCAGACATCTTTTATGGATTACATTTTTCAAAATAAAGTAACAAAGAAGGGCTGTAGCCAACATGAGTTTTTATCTGACTGAATAATGTGTGACCTGTTAACCCTGACTCATTATAAGGAGAAGATGGCGCTGCTGTTTTTTGTAAATGCATTTTTGTGGAAAAGAGGGCACTCAAAAATTATGAACATATTTTTTTGAAAAGAAACTCCAAAGTTTGTAGAAAGCTGCGCTCTGGAAAGAAACGCTTTTTTACGTGTCAATTGTAAAATGTTAATGTCTTAAATAAAAGCTATTTTGTTAGAAAACCTACCTGGACCTCTTTTTGGTCATGAGTTGTTTTTTTTCATGTAGTACTCAACTTTTGTTTTCTTTGCTACCACCTAGTTGAACACTTCTATAGTTATTATGGCGGGTGGGTAGTCTAGTCTCAAGCTCTTTTAATTTTCTTTAAGGATCTTCTGTAGAAACAAATGTGCTTGAGGGCTGTGCCACAGACAGTTCAAACCAGTATTGGGGGACAGAAACTCAGTGTTTTAGTTTGTTAATGGAAACGTTGATGGAAAATATCACCAGACTTAACCTTTACAGTGTCTTTTTATATCAACGCAAAAACGATTTGTTTTTCTACACAGTGAAATGCTTATCAGGCCATCTTTTTTAGTAAATGTTACAAAGCAGGATGTCATAGCTAGCTTGTGTAAAGGTGCATCTCTGTTATTATTCCTATAAATCCTCTTTTAAAATCATCCACCACTAGATGGCGCACTGATACTTGTCTAGATTTAGTGTGCTTTAAAACTGACTAAAGAATATGTCTGTTTATTTGTTGAGGGAGATGTGAATATGAGTGTTAGAGTGAAATGTTGAAAAAAGTAGAAGATAAAGTATTTAAAAGAAATCAAGATTATCCCAAATAGTACACTTTTACTATTTGTAATGCAGTGCTTTTTTTTTATAGAAGTGGCTGATGAGTGACTCATCCTCACAAAACATAAAGGTTCAAAATGATTGTTCTGCAAATATTTGGTTAAATACATTATGTAAAAATATGTGTAGGTTTACAATAATAAGCAGAAAATGCAGGGTGTTTCAGAGAAATCACTTTCTTGTTAATATCGGTGCTCCTCTGCCGTGTTATTAGAGCAATGTGTTTAACCACTTCATCCCTGATAGTCTATGCACACACCGTGAAGAAAGTTTTAGTTACCCCCCGCCGAGACTCCTGTCACCTCCCGCCCTCTTTTTGTCCTTACCCCCCTCCGTAACACTCATCCATACAAACTCGTGTATCGTCTCCCTAACTAACTCACTCCTCTCTGCACCTTCAGCCCGTCTCCTCTGCACCCAGCGTCACTTTAACCCCTCAGCTCCTCCACCGGCACCACCATGCTCTGGAAATCTCGAAACAAGAACGACGTCCTGCAGGTAAAAGAAAAAAAAATCTCAAAGTGTTCCTTTTTTTGTTTGTACAATGTATCTGTCACCTGTCTGTCATGTGCACACGTTCGAAAAGATAGCGCAAAATACTGCACATGAAGGGCAGTTGTTTACTTGTTTTTAACAGAAACTGAATCCGAAAAATGCCCTTTATTCGGAAATGAAACTTGTGAATTATTCAGGTTGGGTGCAATTTTGAAGAAAATGGAATTATTTGAATTATAAAACAGAAAAAATGTAATTTGTATGACTAGGGATCTAGTTTTCAGAGCGCAAAATTCGACTGTAGCGTAAACTTGGACATTACAAATTAGAGAATATAATTTCCTTTTTTAAATGTTTTTTTTAAAAGATTATCCTCAATAAAAGTACCAAAACTCTCCTTTCTTATAATATCTCGGTGCGTAAAATTCCTAATATTCAGTACCATTGTTAAAACGAAACAAACAATAAATGGAGGCACAGTGTGAGTTTGAATTAACGGAGCGTAATTGAATGAATATATCTCTTTAAGAGAAGTGGACCCTGTCGACCCCTCCCCTCATTCTGCCGGGTGCGCGCAAAACCATATAAGTAGTGCACTCATGGAGAGTCTGTAGGACTCTGTGTGTGTTGTGCGCGTGTGTATCTGACAGCAGCTTTTCATCTGCGTAAAAGAGCTCCGTCACAGAGAGAAGAAGAAGAAGAAGAGGAGGAGGAGGAAAAGTAAATAACACTTTTTTGAAATTAATGGACCGGTAAACAAGCCTGGATTACATCTCGGAGCATTTGGTGACATCCTTCAGTCTTTGGAAACCTGCGCGTCTTGTTGAATTTCAAATCCGGGGATATCCAGTGTGGTCCAGATGTTAATCCACACCTATTCCGCTATGGTGAGTTTGATAAAAGGCTCGTGTTATTTAAGATAATGTATTTTAATGACTAAAGTGACTTAATTTGAAGGAAGAGTTTATGTCCTGAAAAAGATGCGCGTAATGTGTCAACTCCACTCAAAGAAAATCTAATTTAGAGTTAAAAAATGTTTGAAAAATACTTTATAATTTAACGTTCTATCAATCGACTGGAAAAGTTGCCTAAGGGCTGTTGGTGAATATCTTTGACTGCCGTTGAATATATGTTTGGTAAATGGTGTGTTTCTCTGCAGTATATTGAGTGTCAAATGTCCATACTTCTCAATGAGCCTTTTTGACAGTGAGTTTAGTGTAGCGGCGCGGCCGAGATGCTCTTTGTCTGCACAGTGTCACAGCGAGAGAGACCTGCTGACAGTGAAGTGTCCACTCACTGGACAAGCTGTGACATGCCGAGACACTGTCCATCATTCTGGAGCAGCGTTTTAAAGCGTCAGATATAACTTTTTGTGTCACTAAAATGATGAACACACAATCCCGTAGAGACTAGTGAATATTGTCGTCCATTTATTTCTACTGCTATGTGTGTGTGCTTTTAACCATGGCCTTTTGCCCTGCTGATAATGGACATTGCTCCACACCAACAGCATTGATCCGGGTGACCCAGCTTTTTACAAAAATCCAATTTCACCAGGATGTGTGTGAGCAGAAATGTAGGCTGGTGGACTGCATGCTGTTAAACACACTGCTGCATGTTGCCTCTTCTTTCACAGGAAACTTGTAAAGTCAAATGTATTTATTTTTTAACCTTTATTCGCTTTAATTCCCATGTATGGGGTCAATGTGGTTTTGTTGACACAATGACAGATTATTTAAAGATGTAGACCCCCACCCCCCTCCCGGAGCAACGTGTTGTTGTGCATTACCTGATTCTTTGTGCAGATTCTTCTTGGTGGCCGTGACCTTTCTGACACTGTTCAGCAGCGATGCCAAGGGCGTCCTCTGCCAGTGCGCATCACTTCAAGACTACTGCTATTTCCAACCACCTAATTAAAATAGAAACAAATTTATTCAGCTGATTTATGTTAAATTTAAATTTAAAACGTTGTTTATTTTATCCATGTATGCGTTAAGTATTGTAATCTCTCTGACAGATGACACTTAGTCCCGTGTGGCATTTTAAGGGGACACTTGAATGACTTTGGGCTCCTGATATATGAAGCTAACTTTTTGTTATTCCCTGCAGGAGCGCGCGGACGGACTAAGCGGCTCTTCTCAGAGCGGCCGTCTCTCCCAGCTGTCCTCCCTGAACCAGGCCGGGTACTCCTCGGCTCCCCCGCTCTGCCACACTCCGGCCTCTGACTTCCAGCCTCCGTACTTCCCTCCCCCCTACCCCCAGTCCTCCCTGCCATACTCCCAGAGCCAGGACTCATATGCCCACCTGTCAGACCCCTACACCTCCATCAACTCCATCCATCAGCATCAGCAAGTGGCATGGCACTCGCAGAGGTCGCGCTCCGACGACGGGGGGCTCCTTTCACAGTCGCACCGGGCTTTGAGCCTCGACCCCCGGCGGGAGTACGCAGCTGTGCCCCGGCTGCTGCACGGACTCGGGGAAGGAGCTGCGGCTCTGGGGGACGGTCCCCTCGGTATGCACCTGGGACACCACGGCCTGGATGATCTGCAGGTAAGTTCATATGTTTAATTTGGCTAAACACTCTTTGGTTACGTTAGCTTCGCGCACTGGAAAAGGCCGTGCGTAAAAGTCACACTAGTGCGCAAAACGAAATTCAGTGCAAACAAGATGTGGGCCTCTTTGATTCATTATTTTTTCAATTTTAATCCCTTCAAAAAAAGCTAATATCAAAGAAAAAAGTGCAAAAATGTCCATATTACTTAAAAAGATGAGGATGATTGAAACAGGCCCTTAAGGCAATTTATCCTCCATTTCCTTCAATCGACACAAATCATGAGGAAATAGCTCCCATTAATCAATTGGATTTTAAGTCAACACATTTAATTAAGGACTACAACATGTTATTATGTATTTTAGTTAATCTAAAAATGTTTAGCCTGTAATATTTATTTATATTAAAACATCCTGTTATAGCTTATTTTAGCTGAAATTTCAAAATAAATTCAGATGAGCAGTTTTGGTGTCTTATATCAAAATAAGAATGAAACCAGTTGTGCGTGGCATTGCCTACAAAAGACTAAAACACTAAACTAAAACATGTACTGCTTCCAGGTCTGAAATATACATTTCTACAACAATATCAGCTTAAATGCTCAATTTTTTATTCAAACCTCGTTCAATAATGAATACAAAATAATATTTCACAGCTTTCCTCAATCTTTTAAAGTGTACATTTTGGTTGGCCTGTTGAATACGTTTTTTATTTCGTCGTTTTGAGACTGACATGTGACGTGTCTCGAGTTTATCTCAAATGTAACGCTGAAGTTGATCTCAATGATTGGAATTTATATTATTCATATACAGTGGGAATGCAAAGCTTTAGAATTAATAAAAATATCTAATACTTTTCTCAGATTTTAAGATATTTAATTCCAGAAACGTGGGTTTTTTGTGGGTTGACACGCGCCCGTCTTAATATTCATCAGGACATTCATGCAGTATTCTCCGATGTCTCGCACAAAGAAAGTGATCGCCTTCTGCAGTTTTTTTTAGAAGAATAGTTTCTATGGTTTATTGAGCAGTCAGCTTCCCTGCAGCAGGTGCAGCTGCAGACGCTGTTTGTTGCCTCCTCGCAGAGAAACACAGCGAGACCAATTGATGTGCACGGTCATTAATAGAAAAGAAACGTCTGAGAGGAGCGCCAGGCAAGGAGTCAACCCGGGCATGTTTCTGTTAAACGCTCCCACTTGACAAGGACCTTTTATTTGATTAATGGATTATATCCTTCGCGTTTGAATCCTCTTATATTTTCACCACAAAGGAGACATCCGAGAATCGCCTTGCAAGACAATTTCATCCTCAGTGAATGAAAAGATCAAATAATCTGCGACTATTTCATTTATTCTTTCGATGGGTTAGCTATGGTGGCCGTTTTAATACTTTCTTTTTTCTTTTCTATTAGTCTTTCTCAAAATGATTGATATGTTAACAGAAATGGAGAGCAATGTAGCTTTAGATATGGGCATTTTACAATTTCTATTAAAAATAATATAGATACAATTATATAGAGAGAGATACAAAATATATGCAATTTTTATATTTAAAAAAACTGTTTTGTTAAAAATGATGACAGCATTTCTTTAATTTAATTGTGTTTTAAGTAAATAATGGAATAAATAAGGCAACTTTTCTGATAAGAAAAATACTGTAAATCAAAAACTTAGCTAAAAAAAATACATTAAAACATATTTTAAACATTTAAGGTACAAACAATCATTTAATGTCAAGCTGTGCAGAATTATGAACTCTTTAAAACCATCCATCATAACTCCCATCATTTACCATCTTTCCATTCTGCACGAAGAAGCTAAATCCAATAAGAGTAACAGAGTGCATTATTTACCCGGATATGGATAGTTGTTCATATGTGCTTCAAGGGAGAAAACCTAACATTGGACCGTCCATCTAGCTTTGGCCTGAGAGAAAAGCTCTATGTGTGTGTATATACATGTGTGTATATAAAATGTGTGTGTTGAGGCCGGTGGATAAATGATAGTGACTGTCTGTCTGTCTGACACAGGGAATGGAGGAAGGATCAGCCCTGGGCATCCTCGACCACTCTGTCATTAAAAAAGGTAAGAGGTGGTGTGTGTGTGTGTGTGTGTGTGTGTGTGTGTGTGTGTGTGTGTGTGTGTGTGTGTGTGTGTGTGTGTGTGTGTGTGTGTGTGTGTGTGTGTGTGTGTGTGTGTGTCTAAGTGTGCACCTATATAATTGTGCTATACATGCTGAAGGGGGTTTTGTGTTTAGGGGCACTCCAACACCAGTTTCTCTCTTGCTGACACACACACACACACACACACNGCAGATTAATGGTTATCAAAGTACAAATATCCAAAATCAGTTCAGTAACGGTTTTCAAGGGGACAATATTTACTCAAATTGATGGGTTTGGATGATGGGGGAAACTCGTGTCACAGGCTCTTTAAGAGGCCAACTTAGCTCTGCATTCCTGCACATGACACATTTCAAATAGTCATAAATACCTCAAGAGCACAACGTTTTACAGCGCAGACAAATTCACTCTATTACAAATACTTGCTTCTTGTTTCTTGAGTTTTACATATTTAGCAGCTGTGAATCCACCCTAACGCCACAGCAAGGAAACATGACTTCACGTCACCACCGCTAAGCTAAAGGAGGCTAATGTTGGGCTATAAAGGAACTACAGCACGGTCACATGACTTCACGTCACCACCGCTAAGCTAAAGGAGGCTAATGTTGGGCTATAAAGGAACTACAGCACGGTCACATGACTTCACGTCACCACCGCTAAGCTAAAGGAGGCTAATGTTGGGCTATAAAGGAACTACAGCACGGTCACATGACTTCACGTCACCACCGCTAAGCTAAAGGAGGCTAATGTTGGGCTATAAAGGAACTACAGCACGGTCACATGACTTCACGTCACCACCGCTAAGCTAAAGGAGGCTAATGTTGGGCTATAAAGGAACTACAGCACGGTCACATGACTTCACTTGACCTTATTTCAGGATAACAACCAATTGGTTTGACCTACAGACCAGGGGACAGGAAGTGAGGAAATGCTAAGTCATGGCAGGTTTTTTAGGATATGTTTTCGCAGAGGAATTGTATGGCGACGATCTTTCTGTTCTCTGGTTCATTCATCCTGAATTATTCTGCTTTAGTGTCCTCTTATTGGACATACCAACACACCCTCCTACTACCTCCATTAATAAGCGGTCCCATCTGCAGATCCTCTCCTCATTGGCTGCAGGAAGCAGAGCAGAGCGCCTGATTGGCTGCCCAGCAGAAAGGGGCGGCACTAAAGCTGATTGATTGATAGATAGATAGTAGATACTTTATTTTTTCTATTATTATGTCACAGCATCATTTGACAGCAAATCTGTCAAATGATGCTATAATCAAATAAATAACTCGGAAGAGGAGCAGTAAGGGGAGGGGCCTGAACACCAGGAAGGGGAGGAGCCTGAGCAACAGGAAGGGGAGGAGGCTGATGAGCAGCTGATCCTGTAAATCCATGATGAGCCGACCGTGCTGCAGACAACAAGTGTGTGAGGGGGGAGGAGGAGGAAGAGGAGGGGGCGACATTGTTACTCTCTGACGGGAGGGAGAGAGAGAGTGAGAGAGAGAAGAGGAAAAAGGAGGAGAAAAAGGAGGTTACCACGGCAACTCATGGGGGACGGCGCTGCAGCATCGGCGAGGAAAACACAGGTAAGGTTATCACCACTGTGTGTGTGTGTGTGTGTGTTTATAAGTGTGTGTTGGTGGATTGAGTGGTGCATGCTGGGAGGAGGAGGAGGAGGAATCCTATTAGCAGAGTCCAGGAAAAGTAGGGCTAACAGTGTGCTTATCAGTCTGACACACACACACACACACACACACACACACACACACACACACACACACACACACACACACACACACACTCTCCCTGCAGAGTGACTGCTGTGTTATTGTCACCCTTCTGAGGAGCGTAATGAAATAGAGCTGCTTATCAATAGGTAGGTCAACATACATATCAAACTATTTAATAATAAGAATTAGTTGAAAGTATATTTTCCTGCATGTCTCTAAAGTGTGTTTTCATTGATTGTCTTTGGACATTTAAACACCTTGGACTCTAAGACATTGGGATGCTAATTTGTGTAATATACCAAACCCTGAATGTACAAAAGGATCTTTAGTTTTATGTCTAAAGTGAAGTTCTGTTGAGAGTTGAATGATCTTTAGTCTCTGTGTCTGCAGTAAAGATTCAGTAACGTGGCTGTAAACTATGAACGCAGTGCAGAGTTCAACGCAGATAAAACTCATACATATCTATTGTTGGAAAAATAACACAAAGTACTACGAAGAAATACAGGAATAGAGGATTCAACGTTCAGAAGAACGTTAGGGCCACATGTGACCTTTTTTAGATGTGTCCAAGTGCATTTTCTATTTTAGTTTTGATATAAAAGTTCAAAAAAATCTGAATTATGTCCAAAAGAGTCAGAATGTTGAACAAACAGCATAGAGACGAATGTCTCTTCCTGATCCATCGATGAGCTGCTGTAAGTAGACGGAGACAAGAACTAAACTTTTAACCAGAACTGATTTAATGAACGTCCTTTGCCTCCGTGGTGTGGAGCTTGACTCTCTGATGAATAAAACACAAGGTCTCCGGTTTCTCATGGAGCCGTGGACCAGTAAGAAACCAGCACTAGTTGACCTACATAGATTCACAAACTTCAATACCATATCCCAAGTTTGAGTATAGTGGTGTTTTAAAATGTTGTATTTAAAACAAGCCTCAAGATGCACGCGTTGTGTTACTCAACTATAGTTTGTATATTATCCTTTCTTATGGACTGGCAAGCATGTGTGTGAGGGAAAGGGTGGTGTGATGGTTTGAAGAAAGTCACATTTAGAGATTCTCTGCTTTCTTTTTTCTAAAGAATGTCATGTTAACATTGCCTCTCTTTCTGTCTCCTGTTGCAGGTTGAAGACACAATAAGGACAGACCTGGTATTTCTGATCCACTTCTGATCCTCATCAAACAGCTTGGTACTTTACTGGGTACCAAAGGGAGCCATTGCACAAACAGTGAAGTCCAAAGGCAGCTCTAGGTGTCTAAAGTACCAACATGTCTCAGGCAGGTAAAGTCCTTCACCTGTATGTTGAGGTGAGGTCTGTTTCTGAGGAGGAAGAAAGAGGAGATGGGACTCCTCACTCGATGCTTCCGTGCCCGGACGTCCTGCCTCACTGCCAGAGAAGCTCCAGCCCAAACCACAGACAGGCTCTTCCCCCAGTCTCCCAGCACCAAACTGGGTTCAGCAGTCACAGCTTACCCACCTCAAGGTCTCCCCCGAGGCATTCAGTCAGCTTCCAACTCCAAAACCCAGACGCTACAGGGTCTCCTACCCGCTTCCACCGTCAGGACTTGTTGCATGACAGTGTTAGTCAGTTACTCCAGGTCCTTGCACCGGGGACACCCAGTCCATGCCATCACAGTTCATCAGGACACACTCAATCCCCTCACATGGATGCCTATCGACCGGGAAGGATGCTAATCTCTCCGTCTTCTACTTCTTCTGGGACCATCACAGCACCAAACACCCCAACCATCACCCGGAGGTCCTACGAGGGCCCAGGAATGAGGGTTGAAGAGGGCAAGACTTCTGTGGTGACCTTTGGCTACGTAGAGAAAGCTAACGTTCGCGGACACCAAAAAACATGCCAAAGTGAGTTGGGAAATCCTCCAAACAGAATGGAAGGGCCGCTCAGGAACCGGTTGAGTGATCCGCTTTGTTACAACGGGAGACCAGATCAAGGTAACCCTTACCCGAGTCATCCTCACCCGTTTCGGAGTGATCCACTCGGGTACAATGGGCAGCCCGATCAAGGTGACCCTTACCCGAGTCACCCTCACCCATTTCGGACTCCACAGGGATCGCCTTACCTGCAGAGGGCCAGCCAAGACCCATTCACCAGAGACGCCACCTTCAGGGCCTTGGAGGAGTTTGGATCCCCAGAACTCGGGCGCAGATTTGCCGGTCCCGTCCCAGATCATTGCAGCCCGACGCTGCCTCGGCACTTCCAGTCATCTCGCTGCCGGTCCTTGGGGGGATCACCTGTCTTGCCCCGCAGTGCCCACTCCCTGCCATCGAAAAACCAGTTCTTGGACAGGGGAGTGAGCCAGAGTTTGGTGAACGGACTACCCAGAACCCCTGCTCACGAACAACTGTACGCCCAATCGGGATACCATTCAATGGGTTCAACCTCGACTCTTTGCTCGCGGGGGGACGAAAGCCCCAGGTTGTCCAGCAAATTTCACCCACCGTTACCTGCAGGGAGACCCACGGACATCCAGCATGAGATCCCAACGAGCATGTTCCCCCCCAGGACTGGCTATAAAGCTGGTGTGTACCCCAAAAACAGTTTTAGAAGTAGCTATAGTAACCTTACAGACTCCAGTCATAGCGCCACAGACGGTTTACTCTACAATTACAACGATAACTTATCTCACGACAGATCGTCACGCTGCTGCAGCCCGACTTATGGCAGGAGGAACCTCTCCAAATGCTTGAATGCTAATGTGGCTGCTAAGTTAGCTGTGGAGGCGACCAAACGATCCACCCTTTTAGCTGAAAGGCGGCTTCCCTCTCCAGCATCTTCTCAAGCTGAGTCCCGAACATTTGAAAGTCCCAAGATGGGAGGGTCTTTCCTGAGGGAATCCCAACCTTTTATCGCTCGCCACGGGCAAGGCTCCCTGGAGTCTCTACAGTCCGAGAACCAGAACCAAAGATGGAAAACAGACAAAGCCACACCTCGCACACAACCAGGACGCGTCTCACCTCTCTTATCCCAGAAAAGCTCGTCTTCACCATCATCAGCCTCGTCGGACAAATTGAACCATGCTGCCGCCTCACAATCACCAGTTTTGGACCCCCGGCATTATCGTGGTTCCTCTCCCACTAAAAACAGCCCAGTACTGCACCACTACCAGCCACCACTGTACACTGGAGACCACAAATCGATCCCCGCTTTGTACGAGGACCTCTTTGCTGGATCACTTATGGACAGCCCTGAACTCTCCAGGAGATTTCCCTGCAGTCCAAACCCTGAAACAGTTAGCTGGTCCCCCCGTGGGAACTCTTCTGAACTCTGTGACTTCAGAACAACAACCGCTCCAGCTTGTTCTCCAAGCAACAAAGAGATGTACCATAGAAAGGCGGAAGGGATAAATACCTCATTGGACTACCAGACGCAAGTTAGAAGTTTGTCCAAGAGTGAAAGGGAGGAGGGTCTGGATCACAGCGGGGGTGCTGGGACGTCCTCTCAAAGCTCCAGTGGGGTAACGGGCAGTATGGGAGACTCCCAGTTGGACCGAAACGAAAGTCCTTCCCCCGAAACCTCCAGCCAGTGCAGCCATGACACGGCCGACACCGGCTCAGGGATTCAGGTCGGCTGGGTCAGAATCAGAACCTTTATTATTCCCACAGAGGGGACATTTACATTGTTACAGCAGAGAAGAGCCAAAGACAGCTTAATGTTACCTTGAAGCATGCATAAAAAAGATTAAACAAATTACACATTTACAAAATACACATCTTGTAACAGTTCTGAAGATTTAGTAGCCAGGTATATATTGCACAGTTATTAACACATACATACATATTGCACATCGTTGGTATTCAACAACAAGGGGTGTTGTGGTGTGTGTGGGGGTCTACCAGGGGCCGTGGTTATATAGTCATATTATATATGGGGGAGGGTTTACGATACGATAATACATGTTTCTTGCATCGCAGCAGCTCCATTTAAAACATCAAAAAAGGACAAATATTAAGACACGATACAAGGAAAACATACATTTGTCATAACATCACAAACACTGAAGAGAAAACATGCTCAAGACCCTTTAACGTTTGACCTGGGATTTAACTCTAAGGAGGGCTTCGGTCTAACTTGAGTCTTGGTTGTATCTTGTGGACATTTGCCTTTATAACAATAAATATGAAACGGAAATCAGAAGTTCTTCCACACCAGTGATTTAGTTTGGTTTCCTTATTGAGGAATCATCACATGTTTCCAGCTGCTGGCTCCATCGGGCATCGCTTGTTGTTGCTATCCACCAAATGAGATATTGTTTAAGTGACAGCTGAGTGCATTTGACGCCTTTTTCTGCCTTTGATTGCAATTATCTCATTTAAATATCTTCAAATCTCACAGGAGCGGATTTTTTTTTTTTTTGGAATTGAATCCCTGAGTTAGCAGTTAACAACTACATCTCCCATGAGGCTTTGCAGGCCCTTCTGAGTCTGAGACAAACAGGATTTATTGTTAGATAAAGTTGATCTGTGTTTTTTGTAAAATAAGTCATTACAAGTATGAATTATTCTCTGATTGTTTCTAAACGGTGTCACTGATTTGACACAACAATATGATTTAAAGTGACTTAACGTAGTTTTTGATGCTGTTTTGAAGTCTTCGTGAACGTCACCTTGCATTTCCTCTGTCCCGTAGATCGGGGAGACTTTAAAGCTAAAGTTGCATGACATTTTAATTCTACTTTAAAGAGGAGGGGATTGTGCATCCATCTACTTCTACTCAAATCTCCGGGGCTAGACAACTCAGAGGTCAAACACTAGAACAAATGTGCCCTCATCGCATTTGTGTCCAGTAATAGATCACTTCAGTAACAGATGCATTATTTAATATTACTGTCCCCTCTCCTCCTGCAGTCTGACGGCAGCTCGACGACAACTCCATCTTCACGGTCGCGGAGGATCGCCCAAGCAAAGTGGGACTTCCTGTTTGGAGGACCGCCGGAGGAGAGTCGCTGCAGACAAGGTACCGCTTTAATCTCTATTCACTTATATCGTTGTCAGAGTTTACATTTGGTAGCAAAGTGAGAGAAACCCCTTCTGAACGGATCACAGGGATTTTAGCCTCTGCAGACCATTTACATGCACTTTAAGCGTCTGAGCATTAGGAAAAGCACTATAAAGCTCCTATGTATTAGTATTATTATTACTAAAACCTATAGAAGACACTACAGGAGAGGGGACACCGCAGAACAAAAGAATAGAGCCGTTTTTAAAATAGGAGACGGTGCAATAATAACCAAATGTAATATCTTTTTAGTGAAAACTGTACGGACATTTTTATTTATTTTCTCTCAGATTGAAGTTACAAAGATAGGTGAAACAAAAAATGTATTTTAAAAACTAGATTATTTTTCTGAGATTTACGTTAAAAAAAATTGTGAAAAAAAATCATGAATATTTTTTTCACAATATTCTCAGAGTTTTAAGGGAACACGGGGATTTTAGCCTCTGCAATAGTTAACACATTTATAGTCACATTTTATAATAATAAAACCAAAGATACCCCTTTCCTATTACGGCCCGTCCACACAGCGGCTTTGAGAAAATCTGGAAAATCTTGGAGGTGGGCGTGTCTGAAAGCTTGGGGATTTTTTGCGACCAACCACCAATCACATGAATCTCCCGCCCCCGACATACAAAGCAAAAAACCGAGGATTTTATGCGAGCAATATATATAAATATAAAATCCCCAAACAGGTGAAAACCTACCAGTTTCACCCACTGTCTCTGCCACCTCCCTCCATGCCTGGTTCCTCCGGTTTGTATCCCGGTAAATAGTTCTGGTCGTAAAGAACCGGGTGATTTGCTACCGTAATATCTCGTTTGGAATATGAGGAAATGAACTGCGGTCTGGCTCTCCCAGCTTGCACGCGGTTTGATTGGCTAGCGCTTGAACTGTCAGATTTGCATAAACGGGATTTGATTGGCTGACGCTTCCAGCTCAGCTTCAAAAGTTGAACATTGCTCAACTTTTGAATCCTGAAAATCCTGAAAATCCTGAAAATCCTGGAAATCCTGGAAATCTTCGCTTTGCTTCCCCACAATGCAGTTCAGCGAAAAGTGAGGCAACGTGACGTCACCCCATTCAAAGTCAATGGGCAGAGAAGCGTTGGAAGATTTTTTTAACGCTGCTGTGTGGACGGGCCTCTAGTGTGTATATATCTTTAAGATTCCATTAATGCTTAAGTGATTCACGTATGTTATAGATATCAGTTACAAGTAATAATAAGGACCATATTCTGGGTTGCCAGGTTGTAGAATGTGATTAGACCAATCCACACCCGATCAGATAGCGGTGTCTTTGTTACTATGATCAATATTATAAAGTCTTATACATGCATTGTGTTTTGCACCTGCTTCTATTTGAACACACATAGGCTTTTCTATGTGTGTTTTATTATTTGCATATTCTTCTGTTATCATTGGAAATATTGTTTGTTCTTTTCACGTATAATAAAGCTTTTCGATTAGTTTTCAAGAATTTAATACAAAGGGTGTTTTTGGAGTAAAATGTTTTAACCCTTCGATGCCCGAGTGATGGACCCTACTCTCTTCCACAAGTGGGTCAAAAAGGACCCGAATTAGAATAATANTGTGTGTGTGTGTGTGTGTGTGTGTGTGTGTGTGTGTGTGTGTGTGTGTGAGAGAGAGAGAGGGATTAGAGTGAAGAGGAAAAGAGAAGTGGGGCAAAGAAGAAAAGGGAGGGGAACATGATAAAAGAGGAGTTGTGGGGAAATGTGCAGAGTGTGATCACTCTAATATTACCGACTGTGAGTTAGCTGCAGGAGACACAGGGGCACGATTAGAAAACTCAAGTTGAATTTGTTGCCGGTGGAGTCGTAAGATACTGTGAAATCCTTTCTCAGGCAAGAAAAAAAAACTAAACTGATGTGATAGACTGGCCGGTTTGGGTGTGTAGTGCTGCAGCAAAAAGAAAACGCACTAAAGATGACACCCAGTGTGTTATAGATGACTGACGGCATAATATGAATTGTTTTTACTGACAAATAAAGTGTTAACATCCTTGAGGCTCTGATTTTAGAGAATCCATGTGGATTTAAAAACACCCAGCCACATGTGTAATGCATTTCGGCCTCCTGAATCTAAATATCCCAATGCCTTACCTCTCCATGTCGTCAAGTTCTCACAAAAAAAGGGTTTAATTCTCCAGATCTGAGGAAGAGGAAGCTCTTACTGTACACGTGTAGCAAACCAGCACTCATCTGATGAAGTGGCAGTGATTCCACTTGTTTGCCAAACGCTTCGAATTGATCAATTACCACAGTGAGACTCTCCACGGCAGAGCAGCAGATAGCAGAGCAAACCTAAAGCCCTCATGAATACGAAGAAATCCAACAGGGAGAGGAGAAACAAGACAGAGTATGGGAAAAGAGAGGGGGGAGATAAAGAGTGGGAGGCACAAGAAAGAGTCAAAAGATGATAAGAGAAAGAGAGGGAGGGGCGGAGAGATGACAAAGGAGAAAGAGAGGGAACTGTGGCCTCGCCGGCTGCTTGTGAATGAGAGGGTTTTCAGGTTGCGCTGCACAGCAGGGCCTCGCAGAGAGACCACCCGCCGCCCACACAGAGCGAGGGGACAGCCCCATACTGTACAGTTATAAAGATATACAAAAAGGCCTCAAAGAGAGACCTATAGGAAACCTGCAGAGCCATCAGGATTGAAGTCACCACTGAAAAAATGCAAAGATACAAGTTGCATATTCTTGTAAACATAAGTTCATTGCTAAGTAATTACACGAACCGTTATTGGCTTATTTGACACCTTAGCACAAATCACATGAATGTCTGGGAATGACATCCAACCTCTGTCCATTCCTATCTCTAAAAACAATACATTTGAATTCTCTTGTATATTTTGTGTTTCTTTCCTTTGCATTTTGTTGTTTTCAGTCATGCTGATAGTTTTGGTTTAATTTGTCAAAGGTTGTCCGGGTTTCTGCCTCCATAGCAATACAATGGAGGTCAATGGGCTGGTGCTTACAGCGTTGAAAAATCACAGTCAAAATATGCAACAGCAAGTATTTTTTCCCAAATAGAGTTTTCCAATCAACCACAGAATGACCTGTTTCCACTACTCTGCCAAAAGTAGTCCCAATGAAAACAAATTTTTTGGGGCATTTTTGAACATTCACCTCCATTGTTTTGAGGCGGAAGCAGAGATTTTAGACATTGGCTAGTCAAAACCTGGGCATATATAACTAAATGTATCTGCATGGCTGGAGAAAGAGATTCTTTGAGGACTATAAGCCCCAAAAGACTTTAACCAATGCGGTACAGATCGACTTCATCTTATGCTTGTGAGAAAATGTGGTCCTCATAAGAAGATCAGCACACACACACAAAGGGGCTAATTTCTTCTAATCCGGTTAATTTAGAGGATTTCTGCCCACCCACACACCTGCAGATTTAGCGGATTCAGGAATTAAAATGCTACATTACAGAGATGATTTTAACACCACAAATTAACACCTTTAAAAGATTATATAACAAAGGTTGAAAACCCATACAAACTGTGGTTGTAAATGCCAACATTACTAGGAAGTAAAAAACATCAAATCAAGGAGATGCTTCATAAAAACGACATGTTACCCCTCTAAACTCCCAAAGTGGTTAGAAAAGTATTCATATTATTGCCTGACACCCCCTCCTCCTCTTCCAAAACAAAACAGACAGTAAAACTCATCATAAAAGTTTACCACCGTGCAGAAAAGTGAGTGTGAATTGAGCTCTTGAAGGTGTGAAGCGAGGCTATGTGCGATCGTGCAACTCAGATGTAACCACCTGCAGTTTAAGCAACAGAATCAACAAGCAGCGCTCCAGAATTAGAGCTGTCGACGCAGGGGAGAACATGACACTGCATAGATT